AAAATCAAAATCAAAATAAATAAATAAATAAGGTTGTAAGCCTGTGGCTGGACTTTATGTGGACCACCAGAATATAAGTAATGACATGGAGACTTCTTATTAATTATGAAAGCTTGGACTTAGTTTAGGCTTGTTTCCCACTAGCTCTTATAACTTAAATTAACCCATTTCTATTAATCCACCTTCTTTACGTGGTTTATTACCTCTGCTCCATATCTACATCTGACTCCCAATTCCAACCTCCTGTCCCCACATCTTGCTGGTGAATTACACCTCTCCTTCCCAGAGTGCCTCTCTCCTACTGGAAGTCATTCCTATCCTCTCCTGCCTAGCTATTGGCCATTCATCTCTTTATTAAACCAATCAAAAAGTGCCTGAGCAGAGATACATCTTCACAGTATGCAAAAAGATTATCCCACAACATAAGCTTCCCTGTGCTTTATCTTTATATCATCTTAGTTTATCTGCAATTCATACTCTCTCAAGACATTTTGTATTCTTTTGCCACTTGAAGGAGATCAACAGATCTCACACATGCTAGGCAAGTACTCTGCCACAAAACTGTATCTCAATAAATTTTCCAGTATCCTTCTGGAGTTCCTTGAACTGATGGTTATTTAATAAGAGTGTACTAATTAATTTGCACAAAGCTCTGGCTTTCCAAATATCATTTCTGATGCTAGTTTATTTTGTATCATGCCAGTTGAGAAATCAGAGCTGTCTTGGATGTTCTTTCTTTACTACTTATCAGCTAATAACAAATTTATCTCTTTACCTACTTATTTATTTCTTTATTAGCTTGAAAAGAAATTTATTGATTTATTTATCTCTGTGTGTACACATGTGCTTTGGTGTTTATATGGCATGTATAGATCAGAGGACAACTTACAGTAGTTGATTCTTTCCATCCACAGTGTGAGATGCAGGGATCAAACTCAGGTTGTTAGGCTTTTCTGCAGGTCCCTTTAGCTCTTGAACCATGTCAATGGCCCTGTCTGTATATTGGATCCATATAAACTACAGGAGCAGAGTTAAATCCAAGAGTCAGAATTGTTCCTTTCACTACTCCTCAATGCAGAAGGAGCCTTATGGTGGTGACCCAATGTGAGCAATGTTACAGAGAGAATGGTTTGGTTGAGACATTGATGACTTATTCTTTAGATTGTTTCATAATTTCACTAAATGAAACCTGTGTTTCGACTAAAATTTATTCTTTGTCTATCTTTTCCAGTACTCTTTCCATTTCTTACACCAATATATGAGATGTTAAATGTCTCCAGATTCCCAAAGGATTCAAAAGCATTCTTCAAAAATATTTGTGGATAGAATGAAGGAAAACCGACTGAATTCTGGTCAGAAGGTAAAAAGTGGTGGTCTCCTGAGAGGTGCAGGGTTTGTAATATGTTGGGGGTGAACATGTGAGATGTGTGTTTCTCTTCATCTATCACTAAAAGTAGATAGAAAAGGTTTTATTTATAGAGAGAAAGAGAATATTTTTATTTCTGAGAGAGGAAAATATGGAATTTTTAAAAAAATTATTGAGAATAAGCCAGGATATATCTTAGCAAAACAAATGAAATCAAGAGTAGACTGTGTAAGGATTGAAATTAAGAAAAAAATGATAGGCACAGGACCAGCACAAAATAACAGCACCAAATCACCAACATAGATGAGGGAGGACCTCTCCAAATGCCACAGACTTGTGAGGAACTATTGGCACTTAATGGCTGCAAAGAGAGGGTGTAGCCACCAATAGGTTTCCCATGCAACATTTGTATAAAATTGTATCTATTGTAATTTATTATAAAGTGGTTGATAAATCAGCTAGATTGCTTCTGGGTTCAGCTACAGTTGCTTTTGTTTTCTGAGGACTCAAGCAACACTAGCTACTGTGTGAATTTAAGGGATCTACATTCTCAGAAAGGAGGGTAAACTTCTGCACTCCTGATCCACCTCTGACCTCTGACCTCTGACCTCATCAGTGACTATCTATTTTTGCAACTTCTCTTTTTGCTTCCAGCACAGAGTGGATTTTCTTCAGCTGATGATGAACTCTCAAAATAATTCCAAAGACAAAGAGTCTCATAAAGGTAACCAAGATCTCCCTGGTCTACGATAAAGGAAGCTCTCCGGTAGTGGTCACATCACTCAGAAAGTGTGTAGGAAGGTTGTTAAGCAGAAGAATACCTCTGTTAGGTTCCTGAAAGAAGGATACAGCTATTATCTATATGGAATTTTCTAGAAGCACATTGACTCAAATTTGTTCCAAACATGAAGGGTAACCATGATGGAAGTCTTCAGTATTCTTTTTATTCACCCAAGCCTACACAGGTACTATTTCTGTCTTTCCCAGCACACTGACTGGGAACTTGGCCTAGACATCTAAATTTAAACATTCAGTCAAGAAGCACGTACCCAAATGGTGCATATGCTTTCTGGGAGCCCCTGCTGTACATGTGTTTTCTACCTTATTCTATAAGTGATTATTTACTTCTATTTGTATGTTGAAAACATTGCATCTGGGGAAAGCTTCTTTGTATTCAACACTGGTTCTCTTCATTCTTCCATATACTTAAAAATCACCTTCTTATCTTCTTTGGATGGTATATGCATGTGTGCACATGTTTATACCCCTATATCTCTGTGGATGCCAGAGATCACTCTCTGCCTTATTTCCTCCAGACAGAGACTCTTATTGAACCTGGAGCTAGGCTGGAAGCCAGAAGGTCTCTATGATCCACAGAGTTGGGGTTACAGGAGGGTGTTACCACACAGGATTTGACATGGGGACTGAGGATTCAAACTCAGGTTCGCAAGCTTGTGCAACAAGTGCTCATACCTATTGAGCCATAGCTCTAGCCTCCCATCTATGTTTATGTTTTAATTTAAAACCATTATTACTATCATGGTTGTTAATTTCCAGACTTTACTCTAGATGTGTACATCTGAAGTTAATGTAAAGGAAGTCTTTCATTCTTACCTATTTTCTTATTTCTTATGCACACAATTGCTTATATATAGCAATATGATCTTCTAGGACCCCAAATTTGATTTTTAAAGTCGTCATGTGTTTTATTTGGAATTCTCTCCAGTTTGTCCACTTTAAACACGTTCATGTGATCATATAACTTCAAATTGGTCGATATGTCCTGCTCCTTTTCAGACCAGGTCTCATGGTAGCCCAGGCTGGCCTCATATTCAGGGTGTTCCTGAGAATGACCTTTTAACTTCTGTCCTACCATGCCTAGTTTATACAGTCCTGGGGATTGAGCCCATGGCTTTATTTATGCCAGGCTGGCTCTCCACTTAATGACCTACATATCCTCTGACCTTGTGTTTCATTTTTGATAACTAAAATAGATATTAACTTTAAAAATAGCCACTGATTGTGGGTTTATAGTATAGTTTCAATTTAGTAGCAAGGACTTACACTAATGGATAAAGAAACTTTACCCACAGTAGAGTCACAGCACTCATGGAAAAAGGTTTACAACTGTTTATAATGCTAGCTATATGGACTCCAGGCCATGGTCTGCTCTTCATGGGCCCTTGTACACATGGCCCATGTGAATACACACACATAAATAGATAATCAATAATAAAATTAAAATTAAAACTCTTAACCTCTACCAAAGGTTAAGAATTAAAATTAAAATTTTTAACCTCCAACAAAGGACTGGAGTTCAGTTCCCAGCACCTGCCTCTGAAAGCTCACAATTTTCTAAAACTCCATGTCTAGGGAATCAGATGCTCTCTCCTGGGCACCATAGCCACACAAAACACACACATGGCACCCATCCACAGACACAAATACACATACACAAACATATATGTAGGCAAAACACCTACATACATAAACTAAAACAATTTTAAAGGCCATTAAAATATGTTGTAAATGCCTAGGTCCTTTGTTATGCTAAGTTCAACTTTGCATCTACTGACAACTCAAGAGTACAATAAAGACTCAGTTGAAAGTCAACCAAAAATTCCAGACAGACAAAAATATACATAACTAAAAATTAAAAATAAATTTTAAAAACAGAAAAAGCTACAAGTCTTGAAGCTGCCCACTGATGAGGAGGAGGAATGTAGCATAAACCTTGGGACATCATGACTGAAGCAATCTCTTCCTTCTCTGGCTGTCACATGGATGTCAAAATGATAACAGTCCCACGGTGACTGAGGGACTTCTCCATATTTCTCCCTAGAGAAACAGGAGCCTTGTTTGATTATCTCCTTACCTCTTCTGTCTTGGTACATCCTAACCTGACTTTCCTGAAATGTTTTCTTACTTTCAGCTCTGTCTGATGTAGAGATCATGGCCCAGTCAATTATCTTTATTTTTGGTGGCTATGAAACCACCAGCAGCACCCTTGCATTTGCCTTGCATTCACTGGCTACTCACCCTGATATCCAGAAGAAACTGCAGGAGGAGATCGATGTGGCTCTGCCCAATAAGGTGAATGGATGGTGCTTGGAATAGAAAGGAAAAAGAGGCAACTTCTTATCGCAAAAAGTGGTGTGTGTGTGTGTGTGTGTGTGTGTCTGTGTGTCTGTGTGTCTGTGTGCGTGCACGTGCGCCCACGCACATAGACATGCACTGGGTATTTTTCCAAATCACTCTCCACCATGGTTTTTGACACAGGTATTTTCACTGAATCTGGAGATTACCAAATTGGTTAGGCAGTCTGGACAATGATCACCAGGCATGCCCTGTCTCCAACCCATTCCCCACACTGCTGGGATTATATATGTGACCTACTATGTCTGACTTTATAAATGATATGTATCTGAACTCAGGATTGCATACTAGAAAATTCACAAATTGAGATATCTTTAAAGCCCAAGTGATAGCTATTCTAAACATTCTGTAAGAGACTGGAGAGCTAGCTCAATGGTTAAGAGCGTTGGCTGCTCTTTCAGAAAATCCATCTAGGTTTGATTCCCAGTACCCAAGTGGCAACCCTCGACTATATGTAATATCAGTCACAAAGGATCTGATTCCCTCTCCTGACTTCTGTGGACATTGTGCTTACGTGGCACACATACACATAAGTAGGCAAAACAGCTACACTCAAAAAATAAAACAATTTTAAAATCCTTTAAAATGTGTTATAAGTACCTATGACCTTTGCAATGCTGAGTTCAACTTTGGAACTACTGAGAACTCAACTGTACAATACAGATAGATTGAAAGTTAATCTAAAATTCCAGAACAAATCTTTTTCTTTCTTTCCAGGCACCTCCCAGCTATGATAAAGTAATGGAAATGGAGTACCTTGACATGGTGTTGAGTGAAACCCTCAGATTATTCTCAATTGCTAACAGACTTGAGAGAGTCTGTAAACAAGATGTGGAAATAAATGGTGTGTTTATTCCCAAAGGGGCCGTAGTGATGATACCAATTTTTTCTCTTCACCGTGACCCACAGTACTGGCCAGAGCCTGAAGAATTCCGACCTGAAAGGTACTAGAATCTCAATAGTGGGAACCCACTATGAACTCTGCTGGACTATATATACTATAGTGTCTCTTATAAAAAGATGATCTAAATGGGATTTAGTATCCATTTGCATTCTGTGAAGAGAATGGCAGAAAGGGGAAAAGGGAGAGGGGAAGAGAGATGGGTAGAAAATATGAGAATTTAAATACGGAGTTTTAATCCTCCTTCATCAATAACAAATTACCAAAGTGGTTTCACAAGTTTGCACCCCTACCAGCAATAGATGAGTGTACTCCTTACTCCACATCCTCTCCAGCAGAGGTTATCATTGGTGTTTTTGATTTTAGCCATTCTGACTTCTGACAGATGTAAGATGGTATCTCAAAGTTGTTTTGATTTGTATTTCCCTGATTGCAAAGGAAATTGAACATGACCTTAAGTATCTTTTGTTCATTTGAACTTCTTCTGTTGAGAATTCTCTTTTCAATTCAGTATCCCATTTTTTTATTTTGGAGATCAGACCTTTATCTGATGTGGGGTTGGTGAAGATCTTCCATTCAATAGGTTGCGTCTTTGTCTTAATGACAGTGTCCTTTGCTTTACAGATGCTTCTCAGATTCAGGAGGTCCCATTTATTCATTGTTGCGCTCATTGTCTGTGGTAATGGGGTAATACATAGGAAGTGTTCTATGCCCATGTGTTACAGTCTACTTCCCACTTTCTCTTCTATCAGGTTCAGTGTGGTCAGATTTATATTGAGGTCTTTAATCTATTTGGACGTGAGTTTTAAGCCTGGTGATAGATATGTATCCATTTTCATTTTTCCACAGGTTGACATCCAGTTCTGCCAGCTTTGTTAAAGATGCTTTCTTTCTTCCATTGTATAATTTTAGCTCCTTTGTCGAAAATCAGGTGGTCATAGGTCTGTGGATTAAAATCAGGGTCTTCGATTAGATTCCATTGGTCAATCTTTCTCTTTTTATGCCAATACCAAGCTGTTCTCATTACCGTAGCTCTATAATAGAGTTTGAAATCGGGGGTGGTAATGCCTCTGGAAGTTCCTTTATTGTATAGGATTGTTTTGGCTATCCTGGGATTTTTGGTTTTCCATATAAAGTTGATTATTGTTCTCTCAAGGTCTGTGAAGAATTTTGTTGGGATATTGATGGGGATTGCATTGAATTTATTGATTGCCTTTGGTAGGATTGCCATTTTTACTATGTTCAACCTACCCACCCAAGAGCATGGGAGATCATTCATTTTCAGTTGTCCTCTTCAGTTTCTTTCTTCAAAGACTTACAGTTCTTATCAAATAGATCTTTCACTTCCATGGTTAGTGTTACCCCAAGATACTTTATGCTATTTGTTTCTATCGTGAAAGGTGAAATTTCTCTGATTTCCCTCTCTGCTTAACTATCCTTTGTGTATAGGAGGGTTACTGATTTTTTTTAGTTGATCTTGTATCCTGCCACATCACTGAAGGTATTTATCAGCTGTAGGAGCTCTTCAGTAGAGTTTTGGGAGTCGCTGATGTACACTATCATATCATCTGAAAATAACAAAAGTTTGACTTCTTCCTTTCCAATTTGAATCCCCTTGATCCCCTGATGTTGTCTTATTGCTATTGCTAGAACTTCAAGCAGTATATTGAAGAGATATGGAGAGAATGGACAGCATTGTCTTGTTCCTGATTATAGTGGAATCGCTTTTAGTTTCTCTCCATTTAATTTGATATTAGCTGTTGGCTTGCTATATAGGTATCAGCTCTTCTTGGAAGTTCTGGTAAAATTCTGCATTAACACCATCTGGTCCTGGGCTTTTTATTTATGGTTGCTGGGAGTTCATGAGTACCCTGGAAGTGTCAGGTCCAGAAGATAGTGCTTCACAGCACCCCTTTCATTCGCTGGATCTTATGTCATTCTGCCCCCTCTTCTGAGATGTTCCATGAGCCTTGGAGGGGATGATACAGATGTCCCGTTAAATGCTGAACACTCCACCATCACTCATTCTCACCATTTTGACCAATTATGAGTCTGTGTTAACTGTCTCCACTGCAATCAGAAGCTTCTTTGACCCAGACTAATAGCAGCACTAATTTATGTGTATAAACATGAATATTCAGAAGACAGTTTGATAGCATTTTCGCTTAGAAAAATAGCTACAGTGTATTCAACCCTAGTGCCTATAACCTCCTTAACCATTGGATTTTTTCCAGATTTACAATATCGGGCATTAATTACCCCTGTAAATTGGAACTCAGATCCAATCAGACAGTGGTTCATTATCCCTACCACATAACACTAGTGGGCACATAGGATGCATTTTCTGTCTATAGCATTTGTCTTATCTCACATATGGAAACTTTTTTAGGGCAAGGGGAACGGAAATGACTTTTAGTGAACAATTCTCAGAGTCAAATGCCTGGAAGCAGTTCAATGAACCTTTCCTAAACTACATGATTGTTACTGGATAGATGTCTAAAGGCAAATTCTTGTATGTAGCTCTTATGCTTCCATCGTTTGCTTACTTGTTATTACTGTGGGTCTCCAGGTTCAGCAAAGAGAATAAAGGCAGCATCGATCCTTATGTATACATGCCCTTTGGGAATGGACCCAGGAACTGCATTGGTATGAGGTTTGCTCTCATGAACATAAAACTTGCTCTCACTAAACTCCTGCAGAATTTCTCCTTCCAGCCTTGTAAGGAAACACAGGTGAGGAAAAAAACTATCTCTGTAAATAATGTTTTATGGGAGACAGTTTTCAGCTGAAAGTTCTGTATATAAAAACAAATCTGCTTATTTGAGGTTTGCTAACTCTTTTTATGGCCTAATGAGATATTTGTATCCAGGGAAGAATTGAGGGGCCTCTGTTGCTGTTTCAGTTTGGAGTACAACTATAGCATTATGAAGAATTAGTGTAGGCCAGTATGACAGGATTATGTGCATTCTATTTGAAGTTCCAGTCATGTCCACTGAAAACTGGTATGCCATGTGCTATAAAGTGGATCAATGATCATGACTTCATGTTTGTTGGGTGGTGTACTCTTCTTCCAAAACCCACAGAAGCCCTTCTATGACAATTCTGTCAACCACTGGCTGAACATTATAATCACCAAGGAGCTTTACAACTCCTATATGAAGTTTACAACTCATATGTATTTCTTAAATGGCAAAGTGCTTACCTGGCATGCACAAACACCTGGTTTCCATTCCCAGAAATGCATGAAGCAGCTATGAGGAAGCATACCTGAAATCCCTGTATGCAGGACAAGGCCAGATGATCTGAAATTCAAGTAATCCTTGGCTACATAGTGAATTTGAAGCCAGCAGAAGCACATAACACCCCATATCAAAAACAAAAACAGAAATTCATGATTCTTGGAGATGATGTCTGAAATCCTAAAATAATTCACCCTGGTTTTCCATGTGATGGCCAAGTTGAGAACCATTGTTGCAAAATATAAATGAATGTTAGGGCTCAAGAGATGACGCAGCAGTTAAGAGTACTAGCTACTCTTACAAAGGACCTAAGTTCATTTCTCAGGACCCACAAGTTTACTAACAGCCATTTGTAAATCCACTTCCAGGGCCTGCTATGTCCTCTTGCTTCCACTGAGACTGCACATATGTGGTATACAAACACATGTGCAGGTAAAAAAAAAACCACAACAAAAATAAATCTTTACAGATTTGTCAGTTATGATGAATTCCAACTTTATGGGACATCTTGATGGTTCTGCCACACTTTTCAGTATCTATGCACCAGAAAACAAATATCTGTAATGTTACCATAAACAATGTATTCTCTTTTT